GTCATTTTTTTATCAAATTATTCCTGTATTCATAAAAACAAATTGTTTTACATTTTATTTTATTATATTATTTAACTATTTGACTAATGTTTGTGTAGTATATTTTGTGATATTATTATAATATTAACGTAATTTATATATTTAGCCCATTTAGGAGTTAATTTTATTAGAAAGTAAAGTGTAATCTACTAATTTACGTAMAATTTGGATATTTTGACCGTTGGATTTTTTGTCCTTGGATATTTTGACCGATTGCCCATGAGTTTATAGGCTCAAAACATATACTTCTCACATATAATTATTCCAATTATCAGTACTATCATCGCACATATTATTTTATTAATGTCTGTATTTGACACCATTTTAAAGAACTCATTTCTTCTATCTAAAAATTCATAAAACGTAAAACGCATACAAATTAAATTACCACTGCCTACAAACCAATTACCGTCTACCGACACTTTCTTTTGSCATAATTTAATTATAAATTTCCAAAATATTTGTTTCCGAGGTACCTACCTATACATATAGTTGTCTTTTAGGTAAACGCCATATGTTTTAAATAAAAGCCATCAGGGCATCTTTTTCGTTCCAATCCTAGATTTGCTTTGTAAAACTTTAAAGAATTACATGTTTAGCAAACTACTCTACAAAAAGTAATGATAATGTGAAATGTTTCTAATTCCTATACGACAATGGTGTCAAAAAGTGTGTTGGCATGTCCCACTAAAAATGATGTTAGTTATTTAAACAAAACGCCCACATGCAAAAATAATACTAATAAAAACCACTAATCGAMATCTTTTTTTTTTATTAGAGGAACCCACGGCAATATAGCCTATTGGATATGGGGTGGTACGCTAGGGGTTATTATTGTGTWGGTATTTTGTTAGAGTTAGGGGTATGTGTTTACGATATGGATTATATGTTTGTACATGTTTGATATGTGGCAAGGATATGTTGCTATAAATCTTGGGTGTTCACCCATCCGGGAGCCAGCAACTGCGGCCAGTACGTACGACGTACCTATGCTCAGTGTGTTTCCGCAGATTGAGCGTACGACCATGCCTCACCAAGCCACATCGAAACATAGTTTACATAGTTTATAAATATTAACATAAAAAGTACCTAAGTAAGATTGGAAAAATCTGATTTCACCAACATTTGTTGAGCAAAAAAATACTTATTATCTAAAAAATTGCTTGGGTAGAAAATTACATTTGTTTCTAAAGTTCAAATTTTTCAACATTACACTGATTAATCAATAAATTAGGCATTACCATTTTTTTTTTTTGTAGAACTAAATTTTTTATAATAGAAATAAAAAAAAATATTATAYTTGTAGTGATTTTCTGAAGAAAATTGTAGTTTTGGAACTTAACCACGCCCCTCAAAAATTTTAAAATTTTTTTTAACGCTGATTTTGAAACTCTTTAAATTTTTTTTGCAGAAACCATTATTTTGGAAGTCTTTCAAAATTTAAGATTTTACGTTTATRCGCATGCGTACAACAATACCTCCATGCGCAGCGCCTACGAATTTTGTCGTAATTTAACTAGTTAAGAACATGCATATAATTGATGAGAATAACTCGATTGAAAGCCTAGGTTAGGTAATAAAATTTAAAATTCAAATTCAATTTTTTTTTATTTTGATCCAATACACATAATAGAGTCAACACAGTCAATATAATTAACATATAATATATATATTAATAAACAATAGGTATTATAAGATTAATGAGTATATTATAGTGGCTTAATTCGTCTAACGACTCCGGTCGTTAAACTCGAGGTCCTCGGACCTCTCGTTGGATGGATGGGCTCGGCCCCCAACCCCCCCGGAACTAAAACCTATGGGGACAAGCATCCCTGTGCTTCAGGCAGACGGATCACCTAGCAAATAAACTTAACCTTGTTAGTTAAAGTAACACGAGTAACCGGCTCTGCAGGCAGCCAAACTTGAGGGACACTTTTCGCCTACCGTCTTCCGGCGGTAGTTTACCAAAAAGTTAGAGTAAACAACTCGAATAAGTCTATTCCGCGTGGCAACAAAATAATGTTACACATGCGTATAAACGAAAAATCTTAAACTTTGAAAGTCTATAACACCCAAAATAATGGTTTCCGCAAAAACGTTCAAACAGTTTTAAAATAAGCGTCAAAAATTAAGTCTTCAATAAATCATTTTTGAAATTCGTTGGGGGGGCGTGGTAATAAGTGTATTTTAGTCCTTTATTTTTTAAATAAATTTATCGTACTTCGTACCTGTTCATAGAGTAACAATGGTAGCATAGGTAACTATTAATTTGCTTCTCCACAAAAAATGGTAGGGTATCAATTGCCTCCACTCKCCACCCTCTAATGACACCTAAGGGTATAGTCTACTACTACTACTATAGAAGTCTGGTATGGTCACGAATCACGATTTCATAATGATCTTATTCATTACCTATATTTAAGGTGAACAGATATAAAAATCCAAAAAAAAGTAAATTTTAAAACGGCTGCATCCGAGTCGGGTCCCAAATTTAAAATTGCTACACTAGTTGGGTCCTGAATTATTTTAGCTACAACATTAGTTCTTGAATATTTTTTGGTAAGTACGACTATACTATACTAACATTTTCCTTCCCATTTTAACAGACATAGGACTGTCTATAATCTATTTTGACCACAGGTATGATTAAAAATGTGTTTACCTTTTTTTTTCTTTTCCATTAAAATATAAGTTATTAGAATTTTATGAAAAATAAATCACTTTTGTGTTAGTAAAAATATTAAAAATGTTAAAATAATTGTATGATATAATTATTATATGATATAAATACAAATAAAATAATATTTTTTGAAAAATCACATGTGTGTTGGTAAAAATTTCTACGACATTAATTTTAAAAAGCGGGTAAGTCGTGGATGTCGCTCTGCTGTAGAGTAGGTTACTGTAATGGATGGGATTAAATTTGAATGCAATGATAGGTATCATTGTATACGAAAAACGATTCTGAACGGAGATGATTTGTCAGTCTAGGATATATTATTATGTATAAATATAG